CCGATTTATCTAACTACACTGACTACCTAACTTTAAATCTGGCTTCAAGAGTGTTAACGAAAGTTCCACCCTTGTCCCCAATGCCAGCCCAATAAGGAAAACATGATTTTGCAAACATGGAAAAAGATGTTTCATTACTTTGCTAGCAAGGGAGAAACACAGGGGACTCCTTTCCCCAGAGTCTGTGATTCTATCCAGCAGGGGAAACAGAGGGCTTTTAAAGAGGTGAGTCAAAGGCTATATTCCAGGTGCACCTTATCAGGGGAAGTAAATCACCTGTGGCCCTGAAAGATAGCATTTTGTTAGGTCTTCTGGCGCCATCCTCAAAATCTGAATTGCTTCATTCCTGTGGTGTGTGTTTGCTCAAGGACAGATAACTCAGCCTAGGATGGGAAGAAGGGTAATCTTGCTCCCACAAGGTTAGGGAGAGGGAAAAGAGAAGGGGAGGGGGGGGAATGTCAGTTTTAAAATAGGCCGCCATGGCAGAGCAGCAAGTGTTTTGTCCTAAGCATGAAATGTGGCCTTGTAATTCTGATTGGACAAAATGAAGAAAGACCTTTTTTCTTTCCTTTTTTTTTTTTTTTTGTGTGTGTGTGTGTCTGTGTGTGTGTGTGCGCTGGAGGCTGCAACCCCTGGGTTGCATGCTAATGCTAGGCAAGCATTTTACCACTAAACTACATCAAGAGATTATTGATAATTTTCTTACATGTGCCAAAGGGCAAATGGCACAAAAATGTCTTTTTAACTTTCTTAGGTATTAGAGATTCATACTGAGGTATTTGCAAGTGAAAATAGATGTGATATTTTCCTTTGGATTCCAAGGAACTCAGTGATCTTCAGAGATAGATAAAATGTCAGAAATCATAGATGTGCATCTAATCATCTAATCAAGTGATGAATGAACCCTTGCATAGGTGCACACCTGCATGAGAATTGGGTTGTGTGAGTCCAAAATCAACACCTTCAGCTTCCAAGTCCCTGACATAGTATTTGCAGAAAGGGGCTTAGTAGGACAGTAGGGACAGTAATCCTCTACATTTCTGCAACTAAATATCAGGTTCTGTCAAAATCTCTGGCTGTAAATTACCTCAGTTGATCCATGTAGTATCTGCCTTCACTTCAGATAACTTGATGGTAACAGTCTTTCCTAATACTTCCTATTTTTCCATTCCAGAAACCTAAGAATTAATATGAAAGGCTTAAGAAATCTAAATCATAATAATAATGTTTCTGTAATTTGGACATACTAGGTATTTTGTATATTTATAAATGTGTAAGAGAATTTAGCATGAGACCCTGTACAGGAACAATTTAAAGTAGGTAATCAAATAACTAGTATAGATTTCTGGTTGTAAGTTGAAATCTTGATGAAGCTTATGCAGAGTTCCAGGACATCTAAGAAACCTAAAGTTTACCATATCTGCAACTGTAATTGATTAGCTTTATTAAGAATGAATAATTGCAGTGATAGTCCGATAAATGAAGTACCTAAAAAGGAAACAGTATTGTTAAATCATATAAGATGTACAAGTGCTTTGTAGAGGTCAGCAAACTTTTTCTTAAAATAACACATTGTAAATAATTTAGACTTTATGGGCCAAAGGGTCTTCTTCACAACTACTGTCATTATATTGGGAAAGCAGTCACAAACAATAAAATATATAAATGAATGGGCATATCTATGTTCCAGTAAAATTTTATTTACAAAAACAGATGGTAGGCCCAACATGCTATAGTTTGCCAGCCCTAAAGACTTCAAAATTATAATTGAACAGTGTTTAATTAACTACCTTTATAAATTCAAACCAACATTACTCAAGACCCTTTTAAAATTATTGCTAAAATCTGGGGCTCGATCAATACCCAAAGGACTTAAAAAACAGCATACTACAGGGACACAGCCACATCAATGTTTACAGAAGCACAATTCACAATAGCTAAACTGTGGAACCAACCTAGATGCCCGTCAAGAGATGAATGGATTAAAAAATGGCATATATACACAATGGAATATTACTCATCAATAAAAGAGAATAAAATCACGGCATTTGCAGGTAAAAGGATAGAGTTAGAGAAGATAATGCTAAGTGAAGTTAGCCAATCCCAAAATAAAAACAAATGCTGAATGTTTTCTTTGATATAAGGAGGCTGATTTCTAGTGGGATAGGGAACAGGAGCATGGGATGAATAGATGAACTCTAGATAGGGCAGAGGGATTGGGGGGGAAGGGAGGGGGAATGGGGTAATTAATGATGGTGGAATGTGATAATCATTACTATCCAAAGTACATGTATGAAGACATGAATCAGTGTGAATATACTATGTATATAATCAGAGATATAAAAAATTGTGCTTATATATGTAACAAGAATTGTAATGCATCCTGCTGTCATATATAAATTAAAAAAATAAAATTTAAAAAAAAATCTGCGGCTGGGGCTGGGGGTCAGCGGTAGAGCACTCGCCTCTCATGTGTGGGGCCCTGGGTTCTATCCTCAGCACCACATAAATAAACAAAGGTATTGCATCTATCTACAACCAAAATAAAATATTTTTAAAAAATAAAGAACCAAAAAAATTTTTTTAATTATTACTAAAATGTGTTAAGACTTATAAATAGAACAATGAGAGCTTTATCCTTCAATTAAAACATTTATTCCTTTATATCCAACAAAATTTCAAGATATGAAGAGGACAGAGAGATATGTTAATACTACTAGAAAATACAGTTAGCAAAACCCTGATTGTAAGAATCCATAGAGAACAAGCTACATAGTTCCTTCAACAAAGTATAAGGAAAAAAAATAGAAAGAGAGCCACAAAGGGATGCTATGGCTTGACTATTTCTGTCTCCTCCAAAATTCACATATTGAAACTTAAGAAGGTGATTAAATTTCACCACTTTAGTGGGTGATTAAGTCAAGTGGTGGGATTAGCAACCTTAAAAATATGGGTGGAGGGAAACAGTGTTCCTCCCACTTTCCCTTCTGTCTTCTGCCATGTGAGGATATAGCAACTAGGTACCATCTTGGAAGCAGAAACACCTCTAACCACATATTAAGCCTGCCAGGGACTTGATCACAGACTTCCCACATTCCAGGTCTGCAAGAAATTCATTTCTTTTTCTCCCATATTTGTTGTTGTTGTTGTTGTTGTTGTTCCTCTCCAAGGAAATCTTTAGTAAAAGGCGAAAGATTTATACGATCTGCAGAATAACCCGAATATCTCTTCCACATTTTTTATTAGCACATTATAGTTGTGCATAATGAAGAAATTATTTTCTATTATTTATAAATTACCCAGACTCGGTTATTTTATTAGACCAGCACAAATGAACTAAGGGGACTTACACATGCAAAGAGATTTGAGAGATATACTGATAAATAGTTTAACCGAGGTCTTGTTTGGCTTCTGATTCAAACACTGTATGTAACTTTGAACACTGACTGGATATTTGGTAAAATTAAGGTATTATTGTTAAAATATTATAGACATGACAATGATATTGTGATTTTATCTTTTTTTAAAGGGTCCCTATCTCTTAGAAGTAAATTCCTAAATACTGACAGAAGAAATAATGACATCTAAGATTTGCTTCAAATTAATACAGGAGGTAGTTAATGGGTAGAGATAAGGTAGAAACAAAACCGGCCCTGGCTTGATAATTGCTGAAACTGGGTTAATGTGTACATGGGAATTTATACCCTATTTTGTCCTTTTCTGTTAAGCATATTGAAATATTCCATGATACAAAAAATATTAACGAGTAATTAAAATGTTTCTTTTCTGAAAAAAAAAAATCATCATAATAAGAAGGAACAAACTATTGCAACATTCAACAGAAGTGAATCTTGAAATCAGCATGGTAAGTGAGATAAGCTCGACCCATGGTGCTTACTGTATGTTTCCATTTATACAAAAATCCTAGAAAATACAGATTAATGTATAGTGACAGAAAGTAGACTAGCCATCAGAGAGGTCTGGGAGTAGAGGAAGGGATGTTCTACAGAGGGACCTGGGGAATCTTTTGAAGGTGAGTGATGGAAGTGTTATGTATTTTCACTATAGCTTCATAGGTGTGTGACCATCTGATATTTAAAATTTTAAGAGCAAATGAGGGATTTTAATTTGTTTTAATAAATTGAACACTAATCCCCAAGGTCAGGTCAGTGCAATGTGGCCTGGTTGTCCCAGCACCGTCTGGTATGTCAGGTGTTATGTTTGAAGCTAGAATGTCCCCCAAAAGCTCACATATTGAAACCATGGTCCCCAATGCACCAAGGTTCAGAGGTGGGGCTTTTAGGGAATGCCTGGATCATGAGGGCTCTGAGTTCATCAGTGGATCATGGAGTGAGCAGATTCATCCAGTGACAGCTGAATGAACTACTGGGAGGTGGGACCTACTGAGGAAGCAGGCCCTGCAAGAGCTCCTCTTCTATTTTCTCCTCCCCCTCTTTGCCTCTCTCCCTCTCTTCCTCCTGGCTGCCATGAGCCAACAACTTTCCTCCTCCACACCCTTTTGCCATGATGTTCTACCACACCTCTGCCCACACAGCAAAGGACTGAAACCTCTAACCAGGAGCTAAAATAAACTTTAAGTTGTTGTCAGGTATTTTGGTCACAGCAATGAAGAGCTAAAAATGTCTTCAGCTGATAGGTGTTCAACCCAGCTCTGACCCAAGCCAGGCCAAACAATGTTATTTTCTGGAAATTTTAGAAATAGAATTGTAAAATGAAATCTAGTCACTCTTGTGTCTATACTGAAAGATAAAATAGCTCAGGAGCTGGTGGAGAGGCAGAGGAAACCCACCTGCAGAGAGAGAAAGGTGAAACCGGATATAAGTTGGAGAGTCCCCAAGGTTTTGGAACTCTACGTGGTAGTTGTCTTTGAAGCTCAGCCTCATTTCTATGCTTGGGTTCTAGGAAACACTCAAATATCCTAATTTCCCCATTTCAGGAATCAAATCTAAGTTCACTTTGTCATTTGCACCCAAGAGTCCTAAATAATACAGAATGAGTGAGTGAATGATGACACTTCCTCACACCAGGTCACCATCCCAGAGTCTGGGCATGTTTCAATGAGTTTGAACAATGAATGAAATTTTTTAAACTGGTCTACCCAGAACATGTAAAAGCCAACTCCCTTTCATCTTGAATGGGAAAGAATCCTCATTCACTCCCCAGCTCAGGCCATCTGGAGAAACAGGTCTATCAACTCATTCAGTCTTAAGGAATTCTCTGGTAGTCCCTGTGAAGTAAAAGAAAGAAATGTGCCCTTTGGAAACCAGAGATAACAGCAAAGAGAGGAAAGAACTTGAGCCACTTCACAAATGTGGTCTAGGCTGGGGATGTGGCTCAAGCAGTAGCACACTCGCCTGGCATGCGTGCGGCCCAGGTTCGATCCTCAGCACCACATACAAACAAATGTGGTCTACTCTTCTGCTTTGTTTGGAAGCTGTGGGGACCTTGAATTGGAAATGTCTCAATATGTGGACACAATTCCAATCTTTGGTCATAGCTAAAGCAATCTATTTAAGCGTAATTTATAATTTCCTTATGTCAGAATACATCTGAAATACATAAGGTTTTGAGAAATCCTGCAGAAATACACAGAGGGAAGTCACCAACACCCCTTGATAATGGTGTTACCATTTAGAAATATCTTTAGGAGAAACTGCATTTACGTTTGCTCTCTTGTAAGGAAGCTCATGTATTCAGGCTGTGGCACTTCATGAGAGCCCTGGATAAAAGTGGCTTTAACCAGAGTTTATTTGGGGGGGGGGCATGTTTCAACATGTTTCCCAGGCTGGTCTTGAACTCTGGGGCTCCCACCTCAGCCTCCTGAGTAGCTGGGACTATAGGCAGGTGCCACTATGTCTGGCTAAGCAGAGTTTTTAAAGGTTAAATGAATCTTGTTGGAGCTTATTCTTTTGGAGGAGACGGAGTGGGTACCAGGGATTGAACTCAGAGGCCCTCAACCACTGAATCACATCCCCAGCCCTGTTTTGTATTTTATTTAGAGACAGGGTCTCACTGAGTTGCTTAGTGTCTCGCTTTTGCTGAGGCTGGCTTTGAACTCATGATCCTTTTGCCTCAGTCTCCCGAGCTGCTGGGATTAGAGGCGTGTACCACCAGGCCCAGCTCCTTGATGAGCTTAGAATTTTCATCTTTTGTTGTGATTATGGCTCTTTAAAAAAATGATAAATGGTTTTATTTTATACATTGGTCTTGGGGGTTGAACCCAGAGACTCACACGTGCTCAGCATGCTCTCTACCTCTGAGCTACACCCCCAGCCCAATGAATGTTGTAAGCTTTTTAAAATATTATGCTGTGGGGCTGGGGTTGTGGCTCAGCGGTAGAGCACTCGCCTAGCATGTGCGAGGCCCTGGGTTTGATCCTCAGCACCACATAAAAAATAAATAAACAAAATAAAGGTATTTTGTACAACTAAAAAATAAAAATAAAAAAATATGTGTTAATCAAAGAGATAAAAGAAACAACATTAACCATTTTTTTAAAAACAATTCTTAAACAAACAGTTAAATTCCTGTACTATTCAGACAGCCTTTCTCTGCCTAGAAAAATGGTATTTTAAGAGCTGGTTGGTCCTGGCCTCCATTTGAAACCTTCTCCACTATGTGGCCTGTGTGTCTTGGGCCCTTCTGCTGGATGTGGGCAGGTGAGGCAGAAAGCCTTGACTTTTTATTTAAATAAAATAAATATTTATTTAAATCAGTGGCTTTCAGTATAGGGGGGGGAGCAATTTTCCTCCCCAGGGGGCATTTGGCAATGTCTGAAGATGGTTTTGACTGTCACAACCTGGGGTTGCTACTGGCATCCGCAGTAGAGACCTGGGAGGCTGCAAAACATCTTACCATGCACACGTTGCCCCCACCACGAAGGATCATCTGGCCCCAAATGTCAACAGTACTGAGGCTGAAAACTCCCTGGTTGAAACAGAAGAAATAAAATATTAAGACTGGGGATGTACCCAGTGGCAGAGTGCCTGCCCAATGTGTATGAGACCCTGGGCTCCGTCCCCAGCCCTGAAAAAAAAGAAGAAAGGGAAAGAGAGGAAGGAAGGGAGGTGGGGATGGAAGAAGAGTTACATCTACAGGAATGAAAGTGCCCAATGTTGGGGCTCAGAATATGATTTCTAAAGTATGACACCTTGACATTTTGAGGGTTTGAAATGGAAGTAAATTGAGAAAACTGCAGAAATAGAAAAGTTACCCTCTGACCTTTTTCCGCCTTTCTCCATGAACATGGCCCTAGGGAAATTCTCCAACCTACCTCTCCTGAAAGTGGGTCACAGGACTCTCAAGGGACAGGTGTCTGTCCATAACCAGAGGAACGGAATGAAGACGTGGACGCCAGGATGACTCTGAACAAACAGGAGCTGTGTGTCTCGACCCTCCTGACCTGGCCTCGCACCTCTCCGCCTGTCCACAGAAACGCAGTCCTCCCTGGGGCCCGGAGGCTTCTTTTCTTACATTTCTTTTTCCCATGAGTCTTCATTTCTGAGGTCTCCCTTGTCATAGAACCCTTGGGTGAAGTAATTTGCTTTTCTCTTATTAATCTGTCTTTTGCAATAGTGGTGAAAGCCATCAGCCACGAACCTTGTGATGGGAGAGGAAAAGAAATTATGCCACCAAAGATGCCACTGTCACCATCTAAAAAGAATTCATGAAGATTCTGCCTTTCAAATCCTTTACATACACACACACACACACACACACACACAGCCATTCCCTACCACTGTGCTGCCCTCTTCCTCAGCCTAGCCTGGAATGCCCATCTCAGAATGGGAGAGAATGAAGTCTCTTTTATGTACTGTGATAGCAAATGACACCATGGAAAACCATCACCTGGAATAAGATAACACACAGGGCCAGAAGTGCTTCCGCACCCAACAAACCACAGGGTAACAAGCCCTTCCTCCTTCAGCCTCCTTTGACACCACTACCAGGAACCCATCCTGCAAGATCACATGGTGGCCGCTTCCTCAGATATGGTGTGTGTTTAGAAACATCTCTTGGGACAGGTTCACCCAAGGGAGGGTTATTAAACAAAGATGATCTGAGTCAAATCATAGTTTTACCAAAAAACTTGTAAACAGATTGTGGTCTATACTCTCTGGAACTAATATCCAATATAAAGAGCTTTTATAAATTAATAAGAAAAATGCGACTTCTGTAAAAAGAGCTAAGGAAATAAAAATGCT